GAACATTCCTTTTTTTCATAAATCATTCTTTATTGGACACCTAGCAAAATGTTCTGTTTAACTCCAAAATTAATGTTTGGTAGTTTGTGGTTTGTTTGTTTGTCCGTCTGTTGTGTAACGTATTCACTAATAGTCCAGCTATTAACAACATCAACGCAGCTGGGCACCATGACATGAATCAACCATGTCAGATGGCCTGACCACCGATTCCTTTAGTCGCCCCTCACGACCAGGTTACTATGGTTGTGAATACCATTCCAATCCTCATCTTACATGGGATCCAGACTGAAGACACATCTGTTCTGTGAAGATTCAGCATGTCCATATTTTTTTGTGGAAGAGTTTTATAGTCAAGGCGATGATTTCGGTTCACGCAGATTCTTAATCGGCGAGTGACGTAAATGAACCACTTCACATAAGTTACATCAGCAATCAACACTACTATATCTACAGATTTTAGCATATTTCTAACAAAATGGTTGATATGGGATCACGAAGTAATCCTGAATTTTACCCATCGCCAGAAGGTTAGGGTTTGGACCAGGTAACTTGTATACCTTCCCACCAACCACAAATCACCAACCGCCAACCCCAAATATGCCTCTAATATCCCGGATGTACACAATCTGAAACCTGTCACGACAATAAACACTGGATAACCAGAAACAGATTCACCACAACAGACAAGCACCTTTCAGCCAGGCATGAACCCAGACAAATACTGGTGTCAAGCTGCCAACAATAGGGCTATTTCCGGCTTGTCTAAGTACCGCCATACTCGGCACCGGGGAACAATTAGTAGTGTTTGTGTAATATTACCCTAACAACATTACCCCAGACCATTCATTCAGATGTTTGCCCACTTATTGTCTGGGGATTCCACAATTTGAAGGTGTTTTCCTTACGGCTTTTATCTAATATGAGAAAAAAATAAAAAGTGAAATGCAATTCTACCTGAAAACATATTTTGGTCGTTCGTATTAGAGTATCAGTCGAAAGGAAAAAGACAATTTCATGCAAAAGACCACACGTATATTTAGAGACCATTTGTCAAATTCAAAGTCAAAAGAGTATATTGTTTATCCGGCCCACATACAAATGTCCTTACACCAACGTTCACACCGGCTTGGTTCCCGCAGAGACCATATAATAGATTTTATGGTTCCTGGTTCCCGGGGTCTGCTGCGCTAATGCAGTGTGGTAGCGTTAGCGCAGCAGACCCCGGGAACCAGGCTGCGTTCACACCAACAACTGTCGGCAAGTGTACACGCAGACAAACATCTAGTTTCTGAAATGAACCCATTTTACAGAAAACCGTTGTTTAATTATGTTAATAGTAAAGGAACATATAGACTCTCTTCAGTTCCAGTCCCATACTGCTACAATCTAGACTTGCCAACCATTGTAGACCTGCATGGTCTGGTTTGGATATAGTTGTTTCACGGTCTGTAGGACAAAGTTAATGTCTCCTAGACATTAGAGAATAAACAGAATAAAAGTCCATTTGGATTCTTTCTATAGATGTGCTTATATAATAGCATAACTTTAGTTTGTGGACTTAATGTCAGTCTAGCACACAGTTGCCGCCATATTGGTGTTCATGTGGTGATTGACAGGTTAAAAGGGTTGACATTCAACACACTGTGAGTATAGAACCCCGACTGTGGAAGCCCGTGAAGAGCAGAACTCTACCCACTGCGCTCAAACATACCTCAACGACATTTACCGTTAATGGAATTTGCAATTGCCTCTGTAGCCATCATCAACACTGTGAGTTAACGTAGCTAGAAATGTTACAACAGTGTTCAGAGAACATTAACATTGTAACAGTGTTGGCACATCAGTGACGGTGTAACGGTTTCGGGATATCGATAAAGGGTTAACAGCGTTGAGGCATCTATAATTGTCAACAGCGTTGAGGCATCAATAATTGTCAACAGCGTTGACACATCTATAATTGTCAACAGCGTTGAGACTTCTATACTAGTAATTGTCAACAGCGTTGAGACTTCTATAATTGTCAACAGCGTTGACGCATCTATAATTGTCAACAGCGTTGACACATCTATAATTGTCAACAGCGTTGAGACATCTATAATTGTCAACAGCGTTGAGGCATCTATAATTGTCAACAGCGTTGACACATCTATAATTGTCAACAGCGTTGAGACATCTATAATTGTCAACAGCGTTGAGACTTCTATACTAGTAATTGTCAACAGCGTTGAGACTTCTATAATTGTCAACAGCGTTGACACATCTATAATTGTCAACAGCGTTGAGACATCAGTAATCGTTAACAGCGTTGAGACATCAGTAATCGTTAACAGTGCTGAGACATCAGTAATCGTTAACAGCGTTGAGACATCAGTAATCGTTAACAGCGTTGAGAACCTGTACTTTTTTAATTGATATCGGATATCAAGAATGGTTTAATGATGTTGAGGTATTAGAAACGGATTCACGGTATCGACACATCAGTAACAGTTAATAGGTGTCTTAATATCAGCTATGGTGCAACGGTGTTGAGATATCAGAAAGGATTTGCCCATATTATGATATCAGTACCGGTACCGGTTTAAGGGTGTTGCGATAACAGTAATTGCTAAACGGTGTTGGGGTATCAGTAATGGTTTAGCGATGTTTATGTATGGGTAATAGTTTAATAATGTTGAAATATCAGTAGTTTTGTGGAACATAAGTACCAGTATAACAGTGTTGTGATATTAGAAAGAGTTAACCGTCTTGAAATATCAGTAGAGTTACCAGTGTTGATATCAATAAGAGCTAACGGTGTTGAGATATAAGTAACGGTGAAAAGACATGGGATATCAGGAACTTTTAAGAGAGTCGGGGTATTAAGTAATGGTTAAACACTGTCGGGACATCATATTGAACAGTTGAACATCGTTGGATATCCGGATATGATTAACAATACCTGGTGTCAGTTATGGTACCAACAGTGTTAAAACTGTCTGGATATGAGATAACAGTAATGGTTTAACAGAGTTGAGATACTAGTTATGACCAAACAGAGTTGAGATGACATCTATAGTCAGGAATCGGTGATTGGAGAAACCCTCCATAACAAAAGTAAGGACCATATCAGTTTACACTAGGAAATCGGATCATCATCCGGAGAAACCATCCAGTCTTGAGACAAGTCTGTCTCACAGTAACACAGCCCTTTCTGCAAAGCAGAAGCCCTAAATGAAGCAAGTCGAGATTTCCTCAGTTTCTGACTCTCCCACATCAAAGGTGCTCCTTTTCAATTATAAATCAATCACTTGTCAAAAATATTAAAATTATATATATATATACACAGACTAAGTGTTAGTCTACGGAGACTGCAGCAGTGGAAAAACCATATCGCTGTAAATGAGCATCTATGCGCAGTCCCCACCACCATCGTCAGGGAAACAAGGCGGGGGGGGGGAGAGATTAGGGGGAAGGAGGGGCGCTATTGGAATTCGCCGATACTGATCAGTTACATAACCGACAGGATTGCTGCAGACATTAACATTTAAGATTACAATACAACCAACGATTGATTAATCTACCAATATTCTGTATACCGGACATTGCGCGTTTAAATGGTGCATTATTAATATAGATTACTTGGGAACACAATTAGGACTCGTTTACAACAACAACGTCATCTGAATAATTCATCTCGTTTAGATTGTATTAGCACCAAACGCCTAACAGTGTATGCAACCGTCGCGCACCTGTCACTGGTGTAATGACGCGTTTCATTTAATATGTGACTTAAACAGCAAATGTCCAAACTCAATACCTGTCACACGGATGAACAATATACACGATATACATTTCATTCCAATGTGTGTCATTTGCTATTTGTTTTATTTAGTATGAATTTTAAACGCTGTTGTGATCAAGAAATACTACAGAGGTGATGATCGACTAACGCTGAATCTCTGAATATATATAATGTTGATAGTAACAAATACACCCATTTAAATTGAAAAGGAGCCTGAGTGAGTTGGGAGATCTGGGGAAATCTAGACTTGCTTCATTTTGGGCTTTAGCATTGCAGGGCTGGCTAGACAGTTGGGAAAATAATAAGGTTCAGGGACTGTGAGACAGACTATTGGGAAGAATGTGCCCAAATGTATAACTGTTGAACGTCGCCACCAAAACAGTTGGACAAAGTTTCAGGCACTACAGCATCACATACTGTGCTGTAAAACTCTTTAAACTTTGCTCATGTACATCATACTGTATATATTATGAGATTAAATAATCCTGGAAAACATTTTGTGAAGGCAGAGTGGGTTAAGAAAACAATGATTTGAATGGGCGAGGCAAGCTGAAATACATCACAAAAGAGATGCAACGGTAACGTGGTAAGGCCCTCAAGTTGCGACACAATGCATGCTGAGTATGAGCAGAGACCATCTATTATATGGGCAATAACGAGAAATGCAAAATGTGGAATAAATAAATCATTATAAATGTTTTCTGACATTTTTCCTTCGGAGTCAATCTTATTCAGCAGTTAACGCATCAACTATGACACCATGTTACAAAAGATGCACTGTCTTCGCCAGCATCATGCTCCATTCTGACGAGTAACCTCTCATAGTTTACCACGCTGGCTGGCTCAACATAATCCACAATATATTTCCTTACAAACTGTCAACAATACCGGTCTATTCAGCTGCCTTAACATTGTCGTAAGTTTAGTATCTGGTAATTCAGTATTTTAATGAAGTATAAATAATCCCCCGAAGTATATATTTACCCATTGGCATAATCGCTGGAGCTGCACGTAAATATTATCTCGCCCTCAAAAGGCCATTTCGCACGAACTAATTGTTGAACGTTCAAACATGCCGCGGGTGACTGGTCACAAACAACCCCTACTTATAGTCTTCATGAATGGGCTTTGTGTTATCGCTACCCACCCGGAAAGACACTTCAAATATGTACTACCGCTACAACAGCAAGTTTTTCAAAATTTCAAAAATTTAACTTACATTTGTGTGTCTTCAGATTCTGATGTGCTGGTAGTATCATCAGTACCTTGTCCACCCCTGTCCATCATTGCATCACTGTCCGTGCCGGTGTCCGAATCCGTATCCATGGCAACCGGACCCTGCCGGACAATGGGTGGCATGGGGAGTTCTCCTTGACCATCCATCCCTCCCCCTTTTGCTAGATCGGGAGAACTCGTGACAACCCGTTCACTTCTTTCAAAATTGCTGAAGTCATCTCCAGCATCTATCCCTTCCTGAGAGGCCATGTCCTCACGTGCTTCCAGATCCGGAGCCTCTCCGGATGTGCCGTTGGAGTTATCCATAGAACAGCCTTATCCCGCTTCCTAGTCAAACCCTAGCAACCCTCGACATCGCTTCACTGCAGTCCCGAGACAAAGAAAGGCGCTACCCCCGCCGCAGGAGGATAGCGTTGGTCACGTGGCATTGCTACCTCCCTCCCATCCCCTCGCCCCTTGTGGCCCGCTGACAGAGAATGCCGCTGGGTCATTATCGCAGCCCGTGGGGAGGGGCTAGTGAACTGTACCAGAGTTTACCGTAATCACAGGGGCGAGATAAAGGCGCGAGGAGGGAGCTGGTTTGAATTCCTCGAAAACGGTTTACTTTTCAGAAAATGTTTTGAACATCTTTACCAAAGAAAGCCTTGCATTGTGATGAATGACGGGGTTTTTTTTAGATTTTTGTTGAATATGGACTTCTAGCGTTAAACCAGATTATTCATAACACTATTTGCTAAACAAACACACAAAAATCAGGTGACCTTTAAACTTGACAGAGTGGTGGTCAATAGCAATCAATCAAATTTTCAAAAGCCAGCGGGGTAAGATTTTCGCAAAACGGGATCAAGTTTCTGAAAATCATACAAAGCTTTTCCTGTTTCAACCAATGATGAATGTGTTACACAAATGCGTGATAGTTTTATAGCTATCAAAAGTATTGAGAGTATAAATAAATATTGTATAAGAGACGTGAACCCTTCTCAATTTCATATTTCAAATGAAATGAGGTCTCCATTGTATTGCTGTCTCTAGCCATGGGCAAGACCTGTACCTCCAACACACAGGCATGTGTATACGGTGTGCGTTTGATGTTGATTTCAATTGGCTCGTTACTGGTCAATATCCTCGACCAGTACTAAATATGCGATTATGCCCATTTCGTGCTTTCTAAATTTGAATTCACCAGAGTGGTTAAATATTTGATGGTTGAGGCGGCCTTGCAACAAAAGACAACCCCGGAAATAATTTCACGCTCATGGTCAGCGCTCTTGACCGTTGATCGTCAACATGACCATGCAACTGTTGACAGCAAGGACATTAAACATTTGACAGCGTTACCATTTAAGCTTATTATAGACACAATTGCTCGTTATGACTATTATCCTGCATTTATCGTCGTGTTCACATTCACTGACGAGGCGTCTAAACATAAAACATGATGGCTCGTATTTAGCATCAGCTTGAATCTTATTACAAATTACATATATTATAAATTCACCATTTTCAAACAGATGTTATAATTAAAATTTAGATCAGTAATGAAATAATGATAAAATATCTAGTATTAATACTTGTGTCAAAACTGAACACGATTCGCAAGGAATATACTAGTATTCATTCACACAACAAAAACCGAAGATATTTCTGCAGTTGCAAGCCTCTGAAGATGTTGTACGAGAAGAAAAGGCAACATTTGGAATTGACAGCTGTATCTGGCTTGTACAATTTCTTTTCTTTGAATTTTTTCACAGTTTTTTCTCAGAGATGCCGTGATCTTTACATGTTTATTTTCTGCATTTCAAAGCATTATCATTTTGTGAATTTCGGGGGAAAGGGTTGTTTATTCAAGCAACAAACCGCAATCGTTCACTCAATATCTTTCAAGTGGCATGTTTTTAATACCGCCAGCTCTTAGTCTGGCACGAGAATTTATCTTGGGGTAATGGTGGGTTCATTAAAAATATGGCATCGAATTTCAGACGCCTTTTTTCTTTATCTGTTGTAAGCGGAGACTCTTTGCGCGGCGTTCTTCTGGAGGAGCTGCGATTTTGTCAGCTGTTTTGACTGCGGGATCACGGATCTGTTACAGCATCAACACATGATGTAAATATCGCCGCTTTATTAATAGTAGCTGAGTTTTGGGAGCATTATGGATGAACTAGACTCATCGCAATGAAAGTGATGATGAACATATTTCATATAGAAGTAAATGGATTTGTTTATTTGGCCTCTGTCTCACTGTCCCTGAACCACATTACTTTCCCTACTGCCTAACCTTCCCCGCAATGCTAAAGCCCTAAATAAAGCTAGTCTAGATTTCCTCAGGTCTGAATCTCCCATCTCACTGGGGCTCCTTTTCAATATAAAGGGGATTATTTGTTATTATAAAAATTATATATATTCAGAGACTAAGCGTTAATCTAAGTTGGTCTCTGAAGGCCCAAAAGCGGATATATTTCATAAGCAATCAACCATTCATTTTCATCCTAATTTCAACTCTAATATTAATCTTGGAAGCTCGTTGATGCTGTATCAAATAATGTTTTAAATTTTCTATCTATTTTACTAGACCAGTGATCTTAAATCTCTCTAGTCGAATCTAGAGTGGATCAGACAATCCAAAGATTGATATCATGATCCATGTTAATCAGAACTGATATCTAGTCTGTCTCACAGTCCCTGAATTATTTTCCCTTCTGCCTGATCCTTTCTGCAATGCTAAAGCACTAATGAAGCAAGTCTAGATTTCCTGAGGTTCCTAATCTCCCTTCTCACAGGGGATGCTTTTCAATTTAAAATGGTTTGTTTTCTGTCAAAATTATGTATGTTCAAAGACTAAGCGTTAGTCTAAGGTTTTTCCTAAGGGGCGACTAAATGGATCGAGTGGTCAAACTTGGACGATTGCACGTCAATGTAGTGTATTGTTGAGAGTGACTTTAAAAGTCTAATAATTGATAAAGGCGTATTGTAAGAAACAGAAAGTCACATAGTCTTATACGATATGTCAAGTTGCAAAACGTTTGAGTATCTGAGATTAGGCACTGAAGACAAGGCGTGCTAATTAAGGAGGTGCTGGGAAAGGATGAATTAACTGTCGTAGAAAGTTGGTAGAGGTTGCTTGATCGTTTGGTAGCTGGTATTGTATTACATATATTAACCTAGATGTTAATGTTTACCAGTGAAGAGTCTGGAGTTGCCTTGTGGTTAAAGCTTTTTTTCGACACACCGAAGATCCGGGTTCATTGTGGACAATGTGCAATGGTTATTTCGGGTAGCCCACTCCGACGTATTGCTGGAATATTGCTAAAAGTTGTTTCAAACCTCACCCACAATTACCCCACTTACGTGTGTATAAAATATGCGCAAAAATCCCTACAAGACTTGAACGAATAACTAGTCCCACACATGGCAGTAATTACATCGTCTAGACCTAGATTGGAACTGGTTTCCAGTCTACGGGACATGTAAAACAAGTAACGTGTTGTTTGAAATTATAAAACGAATATCTATTTTGAGATATAATGTTTGGCAGCAGGAATTCTACAATTCTGTCCATGAAAGCTGTCTGGTAGGTTCTTGTCACAAGTGACCTTTTGTCATAATGGAATGAGTTGTCCCTGTGTTTGTTTGACATGAAATGAAGGTTTGTCTTGATCAGCATCCGCAGTCATCGCCGCCGTCGTCGTCATCAATCCGATATGATCCGGGTTACAAATTTAGCAACCTATGCCTGATGGTGCGAGCCACGGGATCGGGTGGTCAGGCTCGCTGACTTGGTTGACATCGTATCCAAATTGTGTAGATCGATGCTCATGATGTCAATCACTGGATTGTCTGCTTTAGACTCGATTATTTACAGGCACCGTCATAATGCTGAAACAACAAACAAACCAAAATCATCATCGTGGTCTTCAACATCATTCTGAAAACACGCACAATCCACTGTTCCAGTAACAATACTCGATGGAAGCACTGATGGGTATAATTAGGTCGGTAAAAAAGCAAACATGCAATCTGTTTTAGCACTGTAAGTAAATATATACGTGTTATTGTATATTATTTGTTGGATACTCGTAACTACTTACATGTCTGAGCTGATTGGACTGAATTCACTGATGACATTCTCGAGGTACATCAACACATGTACAACAGCAACGCTACATGTGTAGGTGAAAAACACCATTTCTTCGACACAACCGCGTTGAAGATAACGAGGGAGGTATTTCTGGGCAACGTACTCGATAGCCTTGCTCCAAAACTGTACTGAATGCTAAGCCCAAGGATGTATAGTATTTCTATCCTTTAAAGCGGCAAGTCTAGAGAAGCGGAAAGTACAATCTAAGGACGCCAGTCGTTTTGAGGGACAATGCTTTAATTGTATTTATATATTTTTAGAAATTATCATTTACATTATTATTTATTGCCTTACAGACTTGTGCAAGTCTACGGGGCAACGTACTCTCCAACAACACAGATCCTTGTGGGCAACCTAGTCTGTTATACAGACCCTGAAACAAATATATCCCAAAAGGCCCATGCAAGTCTTTAATATGTAGCAAGTCGTGAGCTCTCCACAGTTTCAGGAAATGACGAAAGCCTCTGGGCTCCTTTTCATTATATTTTATGATTATTTTTTATGAACAGTATTTTTCTGTAAAATATGTTCATTTCAGAGGCTAGACGTTAGTCTATGGGCGGTCTACTGTAACCTAGTACCTCTCCCATCGAGCGGTCAGCGCGTCAACGTGTTGGCATATATCAAGATCACATCGACACTACCATAATGTTAGTCTGTCTCACAGTCCCTGAACCACATTATTTTCCCTACTGCCAAGTCCTCTCTGCAGTGCTAAAGCCCTAAATAAAGCAAGTCTAGATTTCCCCAGGTTCAGGATCTCTGGTCTCCGTGGGGCTCCTTTTTAAATTAAACGGCTTGTTTGTTACTATCATAATTATATATATTCAGAGAATAAGCTTTAGTCTACCATAATGTAGATAACGAGAGTTGTAAAAATGGTCATGAACGGAACGAGAAAGTTGTCTTGAGATATCCAGTGTTGAGATAAAGAGAGCGCTGTTCAAGATAATCTTGTTAGACATAAAAAGCGTCATTCCGAGATAACTGAACTTGTAACGGTAAATTTGAAAACGCTTGCCTTTCGTGATTTGACTGGGTTTGGTCAGTTAAGAACAGTGCGTCTTTTATCTTGTTGACATTTCAACTTCTCTACATCCCATGGATAACTAAACAACCCCAGCATTGGCTGAAAGTTCCAGCCATAAACCAGATACGTTCCATGAATTTAACGAGTACCATCACAGATCTGAAAACATGTTGACATGGGCGCCATATTTCGGCCATGTTGTTTTCGGCAACTGGATTGTGCTTGGGTTGGGTTCCAATTATGTCTTTCAACAACAGCAAGGCGGAACTCTCACTGAACCG